CCACTCGCCTCGGCCTCCCAAAGTGCTGGGATTACAGGCTGAACCACTGAGCCCGGCCAATCTCCACTTTTAATTCACACCTGCAAAAACCTGACCGTGTAAAGTGGTATTCACTTGTTCTAGGGATTAGGGGCTGATATCTTTGGGGCCCACCATTCTGCCCACTACAAGTCCCAACTCTCATCCATGGAGGATCTAGACTAGACAGACACCCTGAAAGTTGCCCGATAGAAGTCAGCTTCAGAGCCTTCTGGAAAGTCGCTTCTCATCTCGTACAGGACCTTGCCCTTCCCCTTTTATTTTTATTTTTCCTCCCGTTTACCATCTAGCCGGGAAGAAGCATGGGGAGTGAGACACACTGGGGAACAGCCCAGGCCTCAGGGTGTTCCCTGCCACGAAGCCAGTCCCGGTTCTCCACTTCATATAATGCATTTGCATAAGGAAAGTGAAAGTTTGGAACTTCGGCACCACTGCCAATCCTGAGATAAGATGGTGATTCGCTTCCTAACTGCCATCCCTTCCTTGTTAGGAAATACCGGGGCCTGAGAATTGCTTTTCCAGCCAGATTCCAGGTCACACAGACTCATGGCGGGCCTGCCGCATGCTCACCAAATGCCCTTTGGACTTGGATCTGTCTTTCCAAGTGCCTGCTCTGTGGTCGAGACCCTGACCACAGAGGTCTCCGTTCCCCTCTGTCCAACCTGTGCGGTCCCCGGGGCTCTTTTCACTAGTTGCACTGCTTTTCTGGGCTGCAGGGAATCACTTTCCCCTCCAGGAGGACATGCTCACCCATTCCACACGCTCATACAGCCCGTCGGTGCTGGGGCAGATGACAGGCTGTGCCGAGCTCCCTCCTGAGCCAGTGCTCAGGAAAGGGATATCGGAAGGATGCGTAGACAAGCAGAGCGCTGTTGTTTAAACCACCAGACCTTTCTATGGGGCACATGGCTGACGGGGGCAGCCCCTGAGATGTGTGAGTTCTCATTCAAAGTCTGGAAAAGCTCTTTACACTCATCTTCACGGTGATTTAAGAACTCAGGCCTTGGAGCCTGACGGCCTGAGCTCACATCCCAGCTTTGCCACTTAGAAGCAGTGTGACATGGGGTGCTTTCATTAACCTAAAGCCCCCATGAGTAAGTTCCAGTGGCAGTAATAGCAGACTGGGCTATTGCCAAGATGGGATAAGAGGTGAATAGCTGAGCACAGCACCGGCAGGTATTAAGTGTTCAGTAGCTATCGGCCATTACTATTCATATTTTGCCCTAAGCGAGTCAGTATTGGAAGATCCACTAAAATAACTCAACACCCAGATGTATTACAAAACGTTTTATTATAAAAAGCTCAGTTGCACAGCATTTCAGAAGGAACAGAACATCTCCTACAGTTTTCCATGTTTGGCTGTGACACAGAAGAGACTAGAAAAGTGAACCAGTGAAGATAATTATCTGACGCATCACGTGCCGAATTCATCAGGCCCAAGGCCCTCAAGGAACCGACAGCATCAGGGGACCCGAGAGAGCCACCGCCTGGGTCTCCCCACTGAATTCGCAAAACATTCCCATGACCTGTCTACAAGGCAGAGTCTTATTTTCCACCCACAGCTCAGGACTCCAGTGAAGAAGGCCGACACAAAATGTGTTTTCTATTTGACACAAAACAGTCCTAGTGGAAGCAAAACGAAACGGCCACAATCTAGACCAGCCACCAGCTGGAAAGAAGAGCGTGTCACCCGCGATTCGGAGCGGAGGAAGGAGGATGGGGATGCCGACCTGACGTGGCCCACAGAATCACCAGCTCCAAGGCGGCCTCTCCTGCGACGAACCCGCTTCACACGGCCTCGTGGGCATCAGAGTCGCTCCTGCTGCAGAGCATCCCACCCCTACCCCATCCAAATGGCGTCGTGCACTCGTGGCCCCTCCACCGCTCAACCATGGCTAGGGTGGCTTCGTTGTGACCTGTCGGTGCGGAGGGTGTGGGTCGGGAGGGACCGTGACTGGGGAGGGGCCGCTCAGTCGGGTGGCCGGGCGTCGGGGACCTTCTCCTGGACCTCGTCGTACTGCGGTGGAGGCGTCAAAGGCTCAATGGAGGGAGGAGGGACGTTTTTGTCCGGCAGGTCGATCCGAAAGTCTTTGAGGTGAAGCTTTTCGGATTTAATCCTTCGGACTTTCAGCGGTTTCAGGCGCTTGGCCAGCTTAGAGTTCTGCCTGTCCGGTGGGTTCCCCGGGCTGGTCTCCACGTCGGCCCTGGTGGTCGTGGGGGTCGTCTCGTCGAGCCCCGTCAACGACTCATAGGAGGGGAGAGAGATGCTTAGCCTCGGGTTCGGCTCTGTCTCCCTCGCTTCTGAGTAGTGCGTGTTCATCACTTCCTCATAGCTGGGGACATAGTACCTTGAGGCGACCTCCTCCTCTTCCTCCTCCTCCTGGCTGCAGGGTGACAAAGACAGACACGAGAGTGTTAGCAGCACTCAAGCCATTCAGAATCCCGAAGAGATGGACCCCTATCTCATGTGGGCCCTGGGCCACCCACACCAGCCTTGTAAACAACAGGTGGATCCGTTCGAGACCAGCCCGGGCAACTTGGCGAGACCTCGTCTCTACAACAAATCACAAAAACTAGCCGGACATGGTGGCATGCATCTGTAGTTCCAGCTACTTGGAAGGCTGAGGTGGAAGGATCGCTTGAGCCCAGCAGGTCGAGGCTGCGGTGGCCAGGAGCGTGTCACTGTACTCCTGCCTGGGTGACAAGAGTGAGACTCCAACTAAAAAAAAAAAAAAAAAAGTAGCAAAAGTGAACACCTCAAATGTTTGCTATGTATTGGGTACTCTTCTAAGTACTTTAACCCAGGTGAACCAATGTCATGTTCCTAACAACACTGAGCTGATTATTATTATTATTTTTTGAGTTGGAGTGCAGGCTGGAGTGCAGCGACATGCTCACGGCCACCGCAGCCTCGACCTGCTGGGCTCAGGCCATCCTTCCACCTCAGCCTTCCAAGTAGCTGGAACTACAGGCATGCGCTACAACATCTGGATACTTTTTTTGATTTATTGTAGAGATGAGGTCTTGCCAAGTTGCCCAGACTGGTCTCAAGCCTGTGGGCTCAGGCAATTCTCTCATCTCAGCCTTCCAAAGTGCTAGGATTATAGGCATGAGCCACCATGCCTGGCAGTATTATTATTATACCTATTTTATGGATGGGAAAACTGAGACATCAAAGTTAAACAACTTGATCAGCCCTTCAGGAAATGGGAGAGTGGAAAGTGCACGCCACATTTTCAACTCTTATACCATGTTACCCAGGTGTTAGACCTCCTTTGCCTACAAGCCTTTCCCACTTAACAATATGCTGGGGTCGGAGGGTTGTTTCAATGCCTAGCTGGGTCCTCTGGCTAAAAGCAACACAGGAATTTAGAAATAGCCACCAACGGCTGGGCTCGGTGGCTCAGCCTGTAATTCCAGTGCTTTGGGAGGCCGAGGTGAGTGGATTGCCTGAGCCCGCGAGTTTGAGACCTGCCTGGGCAACTTGGCAGGTCAGGCTGCAGTGGCTGGGAGCGGCCACTGCACTCCAGCCTGGGTGACAGAGTGAGACTCCAACTCAAAAAAAGAAAAGAAAAGAAATAGCCACCAACTTGAAGCAAGGCAGAGAAGAAATATTTGAAATAGAATATTTAAGTGTAGCTCAAATTATTCTATAATTTTATTTTCCAGGTTCATCCTGAGAATTAAAAAGATCAGGTCCTCGGCTGGGCATGGTGGTTCACGGCTATAATCCCAGCACTTTGGGAGGCCAAGGTGAGAGGATTGACTGAGCCCATGGGTTCAAGACCAGCCTGGGCAACTTGGCGAGACCCCATCTCTACAATAAATCAAAAAATTAGCCAGGCGTGGTGGCACGTGCCTGTAGTTCCAGCTACTTGGAAGGATCACCTGAGCCCAGTAGGTTGAGGTTGCAGCAGCCATGAGCGTGCCACTGCACAGCCTGGGTGACAGAGTGAGACTCCGATTTAAAAAAAAAAAAAAAAGATCAGGTCCTCAACCTTATTCTCCTTTGATTATTAAAAGAGAAAACCAAAAAGGCAGGAGCTTCCTAAAAACTCATTTGTAGGGAGTAACACCAATAGTCATATACACTGACATAGACCCTCCATTTGAACCTGTGGGGTGATCATGGCCAACATCAGAAACCTCACCGTTTGCTTTGGTTTCCTCTAATCTTGTATTAGGAATAGACTTGTGTGGCTAGGGTGGGTAGTTATGGGGGTGGATTTTCCTTCTTTGGTCTTTTCTGTATTTCCTACATTTTTTAGAATAAGCATACGTGATGTTATGTGTCCATGGGTTGCCCAGATTAAACATTGTTACTGGATGTGCCTGGGACGGTGTTTCTGGGAGAGTCTAGCATTTGACTCAGTGGGCTCATAAGGTATATCCCAGTCTCCAGTGTAGCTGGCAGCATCCAACCTGTGGAGGGCCTGACTAGACCAGGAGTCAGGGAGGAATTTGTTTTCCTGCCTCCCTGCTGAGCTGAGACATCTCATCTCATTCTCTCCCACCCTCAGACTGGGATTTACATCATCATCTCCCCTGATTGTCAGGCTTCCAGACTCAGACTGAATGACACCCCCAGCTTCCCTGGGTCTCCAGCTTGCAGAAGGCAGACTGGACTTTTTGGCCTCCAAAATTCCATAAACCAATTTCTCATAATAAATCTCCTTTTGGCCGTGCTCGGTGGCTCAGCCTGTAATCCCACGCTTTTGGGAGGCTGAGGTGAGTGGATTGCCTGAGCCCGCGGGTTCGAGACCTGCCTGGGCAGGCGAGACCTCATCTCTACAATAAATCAAAAACATTAGCCAGGCGTGGTAGCGTGCGCCTGTAGTTCCAGCTACTTGGAAGGCTGAGGTGGAAGGATCGCCGGAGCCCAGCAGGTCGAGGCTGTGGTGGCCGGGAGTGGCCACTGCACCCCAGTCTGGGCAACAGTGAGACTTCAACTAAAAAAAAAATTTAAAAAAAATTTTAAAAAATCTCCTTTTGAATATGGACATCCTACTGGTTCTGTTTCTCTGCAGAACCCTGACTAATACATCATGTAATATCTTTTATTCTCAAAAATGAGTTTAACTTTTCCAGAATAAAAGCAACTCCCTTCCAGCTATATAAAGATAAGAAATGTTTGCAGAAAATTCAAACAATACAGAAAAAAGTCTAAATGAAGTAAATAAAAACACCCAGATCCTTCCACCCAGAGGCAGATCACTGTTAACATTCTGGTGCATACCTTTCCAATCTGTCTCTAACCTACAGCCACAACATTCGGTGTGATTAGACTTTACCAAAGATGCTGTGTTTTCACGTCCTTTTCCCAATGCTGTGGTCATGGTTCCACATCGACAAATATGGACCAGCAATGGTCGCATAGAATGCCATTGAATCAATGGGCACGTCACAACAACTCGGTAACTCGATATTTAGGTTGGTTCCATGTTTTTGCTATTCTACGCAATGATCTGATAAAGATATGAGGAGGAACCCAAAAAAGACTGGAAATATTTTTTGTAGTACAGGCTTCCCCCTCTAGGTAGGTGCTCTAGGAAGCCATTGGCATTGGTGTACCAGTTAGTGTTGTTGTGAGAGGCTGTGTTTGGCTTCAGTGAATTTTTTTTGGAGATTCTTTAGACATGTTTGCCCATTTCATGGGGGGTGATTTCTGAGTGTACCCACCCACAGCATACTGAGTGTTTAGCAGTTTTTGACCAAAAACGGCATATGACCTCCGTGCCCTACCCTCCCTATTCACCCGATCTCACCGCGAACAACTTCTTTTTTGTTTCCCTGGATGAAAAAAGTCCTCACATGGAAGCGTTTTGATGATGTGGAAGAGGTATAAATAAATAATTTTTTAATGGCGGAAGTACTAAAAGGCATCAAAATCGAAGAGTTCAAACACTGTTTTGAGCAGTGGAAAAAGCGTCTCCATAGGTGTATTACATCAAAACAGAGAATACTTTAAAGGCGACTGAAGTTTAAACATGAAGAATAAATACACAATGCTTAATAAACAAATTCTATTTTTTCTAGGGTCCCCCCTTGTACAGTACTGGTATGAACTCCTCCGCACTTATGTGATTGTCCCCCAAGGATTAACTCTCAGGAAAAGAAGCGATAGGAACACACATCTTCAATACTGCCCCTCACGGAGAAACTGTTCAGAAAGGTTCTACCAATCACCACTCCCTCAGCAACCCATCTTCCCCACAACTCAGCAATGCTAGGAGTGCCTATCTGGGCCAATATGACAGGCAAAGACATAACATTTTTTTTTTTGTTGCACTTCATGACTGATGAGGTTTAACACCTATGAAATGCTCCTTCTAACTTTTGTCCATTTTATTACAGGTGTGTTCATCTTTCATATTCATTATAAATAGTCTTTAGCTCACTGGGCTCAAGCAATTCTCCTGCCTCGAGTAGTTGGAACCACAAGCATGCATCACGCACCTGGCTAGTTCTTTTTTTAAAATAGAGACAGAGTCTTGCCAGTTGCCCAGGCTGGTCTTGAGTTCCTGGCCTCAAGTGATCCTCTTGCCTTGGCCTCCCAAAGCACTGGGATTACAAGCATGAGCCAACATGCCTGGACTGCAAGGGGTCTTTTTATAATAGGGCTATTAACCTTAGTCATACATTCCCCAATTTATCACTTATATTTTAAATTTGCTTGTGGCATTTTTGGTCAAATAGCATACTGCTTCCCAGCCTTTTCTTTCTTTTTTTTTGAGTTGGAATCTCACTCAGTCACCCAGACTGGAGTGCAGTGGCCGCTCCCGGCCACCGCAGCCTCGACCAGCTGGGCTTCGGCAATCCTTCCGTCTCAGCCTTCCAAGTAGCTGGAACTACAGGTGTGCGTTACCACGCCCAGCTAATTTTTGATTTATTGTAGAGATGAGGTCTCGTCAAGTTGCCCAGGTAGGTGGGTCTCGAACCCGCGGGCTCAGGCAATCCACTCACCTCGGCCTCCCAAAGTGCTGGGATTACAGGGTGAGCCACTGAGCCCGGCCTTCCCAGCCTTTTCTAATCAAAGCGTGTACACACAGCATGCTGGGGTGAAAAGACCAGTACTCAGGGTAGAGGGGGGGAACCCCAGGTCCTGGTCAGTTTCCCTGGGGTGTCAAAGTCTTGGTACACCTATAATCCATGTACACCACATTATTTGGGAAGCAGGTAGAGAAGTATAGAATTATTTGTAACACGAGAAATGGCATCAAGAGCCGTCATGGAAGAAACGGGCGGGTGAAGCCTTGTGGACTTGAGTGTTTCCACCATTGAAGGATGTGAGCGTGCATGCGTGTGCCCAGCCCTGATCTGCAGCGGGGACCCCTCCGTCCTCACCTGTCCTCCTCCTGGGCATGGGACCCAGCGCCCGCCGGGTGCTGAATGTGTGCCATCTCTTCGCCTTGCCGCTGCTTCCTCTTGTCCCGGATGCTCAGGCAGATGGAAAGTAGCAGCAGCATCACCCCGGCCCCGACCAGCACATAGGCCACAGAGAAGGTCTTGCTCTTGAGGATGCCACTGCCCACCTCGGTCTTGTTGTTGCCCTGAGCCATCGGCTTCTCGGCACCACTGAAGCCCGGCACCAGGTTCCACATGGCCATGATGACCCCGAGGACCAGCATCCCCAGGCCGATGGCGGTCAGCGCATAGTGCGAGCCGTTGGCCTTGGACTGGGCCATCATGTCAGCGGGAGGAGGGCGAGGCCCGGCTCAGAGAAAGAAAATAAATAAACAAAAAGTAGCAGCAGCCACCGAAAACCCTTAAATGCGCTCAGCAAAATCTCTAGCATCACATTAAGGAGACATCAGGTGAACTCTCCGGGGATGGTTCCAAGCACACGGGAGGCATCCCACGTGGACGACTGCAGTGGAGGGTCTGGATGGCTGCAGTGGAGTGTCTGAAAGAAGCAGGGAGAAAAATCAGTCCCGTTGCAGGCGCATTTGAGAGTGCAAAAGCTCTGTCCTGGAAGGGGTTAAGAAGCAGCCTCCGCGGCTCGCACGGGCCTGCCTCTGATGCGTTCCAGATGTCTTATGTGTTCCCTCCTCGGGTGAGTCTGCAGAGGGGAGGGGAGCCCGCCCACCGCCACCTCCCCCACCAAAGGAGAAGCCAGCCCTTCCCCTGTAGGAGGCCGAGAGGTCAGAGCTCAGGTCATTAAAACACGCTGTGGAATTTGATGAAGGGCAGTCAAGGCTCAACTCTGCCTGGACAGCCAGGAGAGGGGGCGACGCACGAGTGAATCTTGTCCCGTGTAGTTGTGACAGACCTGGCTGGGTGACGGGCGCCAGCCAATGGTACATCCCAGGCCAGACAGCCTACTGTGTTCTGTTCACCACCCTCAATGGCTCCCCATTTCCTGCACAAGGAAATTCAGCATTTTAGAGTGCTGCCCACGGGGGCCTGAAGCCGGCCCCCACCTCTCCCATGCCATCTCTCACCCCGCCTTTCTGGGCACGCCCCCGTCCAGAACTCCAGCAGTTCTCTGATCCCTCCAGCTCAGGTGTCTCCTCCGGGGGCTTCCCAAAGGCCCCAGCAACTACTGTGGCAAGCCTCTCCCTGCCCGTGACCTTGTCATCATCTCTGAGGTCAGCACACAGCATGGAGGAAAAAATGTCAACGTTGGGTAAAACAAACAGCGGTCACAGCAAGCCGCCCAGTGAGGCAAGCTTCATTTCAGGTATATGAGTTTCCTTTTCTTTCTCCTTTTTGTAGAGCTGAGGTCTTGCTATGTTGTTCTGGCTGGTCTTGAACTCCTAGGCTCAAGCGATCCTCTCTCCTTGGCCTCCCAAAGGGCTGGGGTTATAGGTGTGAGCCACTGTGCCCGGCCGAGTTGTCCTTTTCTTTAGGGAGGCAGAAGCTGGCACATTCTTCATCTTAGCTCCTGTGCCAAGCTGGGCAAAACACCCTCTTCCCATGAAGCACTTGGAGGCCCTGTGCTGAAGGGAGCAGCCAGCAGCCTGGGCATTCCACAACCATTTCTCGGCTGAGTGTGGGCCAGAGAAGCAAGTCCCCCGAAAGCTTCAGGCTAGAACACTCTCAGGGACCCAGGAGGAGGAACAAGCAATGTGCCTTTCTAAACTACTCCCCAGTAAGTTATGGCTGACAGGAACTTTTGCAAAACAGGACAATTTACAGGCTGTTTAGCTGGGCAGGCTCCTGTTTCCAATTCTGCATTCTTTCCAATCTTTCCGAAAGGAGGCTAACCAGGCTGCTTGAAATCCGATGCTGCGAAGATATTTTCTTGGCAAACCATGAGCTTAACCTGAAACTGGCCACTTTGTTAAGAGACACTCTAAAAATATTTGGGACAACATCCTCTATCAGCTTGAAGTCCGTTCCTTCTTTCTTCCACTCAACAAGTATTTCCTGTGCACCCAACTACCTGCAAGGTAGCCTGTTAGGCCCTGGCTGAACACCGGCAAGAGTGAAGGCTTCGTGGGACTTCCAGGCCGGCAGGGAAACGATCCGTACGGGACAACAATAAAGTGGGCAGGAAGTCCAGGAGTTGTGGGATCAGACAGCAGGGCGTCCTCACCCAGGACTGGGGGCTGACGGAAATTCTCTGTGGGCGAGAAGTCCCACTGGCATCATAGGGCCTGCACCCTGAATGCCTGGGACTGTGTGGGCGCATGCGTGCAAATGCAGTGGTTCTGTTCTTGAAGGAGTTAAGAAGTACCAAGGTGTACGGGGGCATGCCCACCTGTGCATGCATGTTTCTGCACACATGGGAGGGCATGTGTGCACGTGTGTGCCTGTGTACAGGTACGTATGTGCATGCATGTGGTAGGCAGGGCACTGCGTATGGAGCCCCCCTCCCCTGCAGACAGCTGTGGTAGGAGCAGTTCGGAAGAGTGCTGTGCAAAAGGGCACCTGCTTCTCATGGCACCACGTGTGGACAGCAGAGGGAAGGATGGCGGCCCTGTGGCCTCAGATATGCACAGGGCTGGCCAAATGGACCCAAGACAAGGCCAGACTCAGAGAGCACGAAGTGCACGGCCAGGGGCTCGCGCTGCAAGCAGGTGTGATGACAGAGTGACCACCTGGGCACCAACCGAGTGCCTGGCAGGCAGGCCTTGGGCCTAGGGTGCTGAGGTGTGTTTATCAAGCCAGCGATTTGGGCCCCTTGAGCCCCTGCCCCGCCCACTTTGTTCATTCTCAGTCCAAGCTTAAGCTTTGCCTTATCCCGACGTGGACAAGATGGGCACCAGGTGAGAGTCATAGGCAGAGATAACAACAGCAGCCTGGATTCATTTGGAGTGTGTTAAACTGTCAATGATTAAAAACAAGTGGAAATACCCAGTGCAGGTAACTGTGCTGAGATGGGCAATTTCATATGATTTTACTTTTAGATGGCATGTTCTGGCATTGATGGATTCAAAGTTTCAAAAATATTTATACCCTTTGGCTGTGTAATTCCAACTGCTAAGAGTTATGTATAAAACATTCATCACAGCCTTATAATGGCGAGAAGCTAGATGCAACTTCAATAGCCAATAATCCAGAACTGGTTAAATGAATTGTGGTGTATACACTCAATCATGGTCTCAATGCAGTCAATGATACATTGCTGAATCAAACAACAGAATATTCAGTGTGATTCTAATTTGTAGAAAGCTCGCTGTATACAGATGTATATATGGGAAAAGCCTTGATTACTGCATTTATGCTAAAATGAAAAAGAGACTATATACATACTCTGTCGCCCAGATTGGAGTGCAGTGGCACGTTCACGGCCACCACAACCTTGAACTGCTGGGCTCAGGCAATCCTTCTGCCTCAGCCTCCTGAAAAGCTGGGACTACAGGTGTGCACCACTACACCTGGCTAATTTTAAAATTTTTTTGTAGAGATAAGTCTCGGTATGTTGCTCAGGATGGTCTTGAACTCCTGGCCTCAAGCAATCCTCTTTCCTCGGAGTCCCAAAGTGTTGGGATGAGCCACCACACCCGGATTTTATTTTCATTTTCTTACTGGGAGAATAAGAATTGGAAAACACAGACATCCCCGTGCTGCTCCATATAATAAAGATTTTGAGTTTTGGGGTTCATGGCAGAGCTGTGTGTCCAGCAGTGGCTGAAGCTCATCCGTGAGGGTCAGCCCTCTCTTTGGAGACCATGATCTTGATGAGCTCTCATGGTCTGTGGAAACCAGCTCCTTGCAGCGTATCTGGCCAGCTGTTTATCCTGTTTTGGGCTTGTTGACCCTGGACAGCACCCGAGTTATTTTTAGTATGGTGTTCTTTCCCTTTTGAAAATATGGAAAGAAGCTAATTTTGTGCTTGGAGGACGTGGCCCATGCACCTTCCAACATATTCTGAAAATGGAGCGTCTTGATAGGCAGCCCAGGGCTCCAGCTCTGCCAGACTCACCCCTAGACTCCTAGACCCTAGACCCATCACTGTTCATGTTCGAGAAAGCCCTAAGAGATAAGTGTGTGACCCTATATCTGAGTTTTTAAGAAAATTGTTAGCCAGTTACAGAGGTACCTACCAGTCGTTGCCTGGGGAGGCTCGGGCAGGCCTGAAAGCAAACTCTGCATGCTAGACTCTTGAGTTAAGGATTCACCTAGAAAAAGACCACAGAGATGCAGCTTTCTAAGTAAGCTGTGAGCTTTTCGACTTGAGGTGCACACAGGGGAGGCATGTGTTTTTTTGCGGGGGGAAGGGTGGAGATTGGAGGAGGTATACATGCAAGACAGGTGGTAACGAAGTCAAAATTCTGTACCAAACGTTACACAGAAAAGACACCTGCACTTGGATGTTTATCTCAGCACAGTTCACAATTGCCAAGATATGCAATCAACCTAAATGCCCATTAACTTGATCAGTGGGTGATGAAAATGTGGTATGTACGAGGGGGGACCCCTCAAAATGGAACTTGTTTCTAAAAAATTGTGTATTTGTTCTTCCACGTTTAAACCTGTCACCTTCAAAGTACTCTCCATTTGGTGCAATACACCCATCGAGACACTTTTTCCACTGCTCAAACCGTTTTTGAACTCATCCATTCTGATGCCTTTTAGTGCTTCTGCCGTTTTTGGTTTCACCTTTCCACTTGGCAAAATGTTTCCCTTTGAAGACTTTTCTCATCCGGGGAAACAAACAAACAAAAAATCGCTTGGGGTGAGATCAAGTGAATAGGGAGGGTGGGGCAAGGGGTCATGCTGTTCTTGGTCAAAAACTGCTGAACACTCAGTGCAGTGTGGCCGATGCGTGATCATGGTGGAAGAACCTGTCATCTGTTTGCCACAACCTGGGACATTTCTTCCTCAGCGCAGCCTCTTACAACAACGCTAGCTAGTACACTGAGGCTGATGGGTTCCTAGAACACATATCTAGAGGAGGAAGCCTATCCTACAAGGGGCCCGCCCTCTAAAAGATAATTCCGGCTTTGGGGGACCCCCCCCTTGTATATACACCATGGAATACTATTCAGTCATAAGAAAGAATGAAATTACGTCTTTTGCAGCAACTTGGATGGAACTGAAGAACATCATCCTATGTGAACTAACACAGGAGCAGAAAACCAAACACCACATGTTCTCACTTACAAGTAGGAGCTAAACTAAGGAACTGCAAAGGCATGGAGAATTGTATAAGGGACACTGGAGACTCAAGAATGGGAGGAGGGGGAGGGTCAACAAATCCCCTGTCGGGTATGGTGTGCACAGGTGGGGATGGTGGGGACACTGAAAGACCAGACTTCTTTGCCACTATACAGTGCAGCCATGTGACCAAATCTATGTGTGCCTCCTAAATCTACTAAAAAAATAAATAAATAAAACTCCGTACCGAAAAATGTAAGTCGCAGAAGGATGACAATATGGCAGCTAACATTTATCACACCCTTCCATGGTTTTCTCCATCTTAGATGGAGAAAT